GTAGCCATCATGCGTGATAAGGGCTAAATTTGGTACAATCAGCTTCGACAAATATATAATGAATAATAAAATGATAGACAACTAAACACGATACATAGACTTATGTAGACAATAACATGATGCTAGGCATGACATGTGGCAAGCACTTCTAGATAAAATCCCTACGAAGGGAAATTTGATAAAAAGAGGTAATTTACAGGACGAGAATGAAGCTATTTGTGGTCTGCGGGCTCAGTATTGAAATGGTTAACTATTAATAATATATTTGAGCTGAGGAAAATAAAAAGAAAAGAAGAAAAAAATTTTTTTAGTTAACTATTAAAAAAAGTTTAAGAGGAGGGGAGGAAAAAAAAGTCATTTTTAAAATTTTTTTTCTTTCAATTTATTTATCTATTTAAAAGAAAGAAAAGAAGAGAGAAAAATAAAAAGATACAATTTTCCTTCAACTCTTATTCGTTCTGCTCAAATATACTTAAGTTATTACTATAAAAAATTTGTTAATCATTTTTATATTTTCACTAATGTATCAATGGGTTATTGTTAAAATTATCCATTAATGTGGCTAACTACCCCATCATTTAAAATTTATTAATAAAAATTTAATAATGTAAATTAATTAGATACAATAATGGAGATATTATTAATATGTGTAGGAGAGATTTTCTTCTACTATAATCAATCGATATTATTTATTAAATTTTATTGTTATTAAGGTTCAAATTATATTGGGGCTCAAAAATTAAAAAAATATTAAAATTTTGTTAATATCCAAATAATTCTTTTATTTATCAATTGATTTTGATATTTTTCTCAAGAAAAAAAAAAAGCACCAATCACCTATCACTAATCACTAAAGCAAATTATTAAAATTGTTTAAATGGTTCTCTTGTTTTGATTTTATATAAATAGTTTTTGATATAGGAAAAATATATCAATTGTACCTATAAAAAAATTAGGTGAAAAAATACATGAAAATTAATCCATTTTAATAAATCTTCATTGAAAAAACCTAAAAAAATCTTAATTTTTAAAATAGGTATAAAGTTGTTTTAGTTTTTCTTTTTCATAGTGATTAATTAAAAGGACGTAATTGTTACCATCTTAGATATTAGAAAAATGTATCAACTATACCTACAAAAAATTAGGTGAAAAAACTACTTTAAAACTATACCATTTTAATAAAGTTTTATTAAAAAATATTAAAATATCTTA